CCAAACCCCCCCCTTCCCTCCCCTCAATTTTAGTGTACCCATTTTTAGGTATTTTACCCATTTTTAGGTATTTATCTAGTTCGCTTTTGGTAACCAATGTGGATTCTCAGCACGGCTGGTGAACATCTCAAAGCGCTTCACAGGATTTGACTACAACGTATATATAGCGACTGCGTATTTTGTGGGTGAACTTTTCAAGTCATCTAAGCTGAAACCCCTGGGGGTGGCGGGGGGTGTGGGTGTTGCATTGTCGGAGGTGCCATCCTTCAGGTGAGATGTTAAACCGAGTTCCTGTGTCTGCCTGTTCAGGTGGATCCCATGCCGTTAGCATCGGTCTCTGCTAGGCTTGGTGGAAGGCCCTCTCCAGCCTTTATGTCAGGTTGTGGATTCACATTCCCTGTGTGTGTGGGGGGGGGCGGGCGAGGAGGTGTGTTTGTTTGGGGTGTGTGTGTGGGGGGGGGTGTGGGGGGGCGGGAGGTGTGTTTGTGTGTGGTGAATCATCCCCGAGTTATGATAACAACAAGTCTCTCGCATTTGATACGGCGCCTTATCAAGTCTTCGAGGCGTCTCAAAGCGCTTCACAGGATACACTGTCGGGCGAATCGACTGTGTATTTTGCGGGCGAAAAAGGGGGTGTGGGGGGGTGGGGGGTGAGGGGGGAACAATTACGCCCGGGAGCGTCCCCACCCACAGTCGTGGATTGAAGTGACCCAATCAATTACGCTCCTCTCCTGACTCCCAAAACGCCCCCCCCCCCCGCCCCACTATGGTGTGCTGTGCGGTGCGGAGACCAGAGAGGCAATGACAGGGTTAAGGCCGACTGTTAGGGCTCTGACGGGTGAACCACACGGAACTTCAGCGTCCTCGAGTCCACTGCTCAGCTGCACCACCAGATGGCGAGCCCGGCACTTGCCCAGACACGGACGGCGAAGCGAGCGAGCGAGCAAAGTCGGTTGCTCTTTTTGTTGGTTCCGTTTAATTCGGTGAAAGAAAACCTCCGCTCGGAGCCCTGTTGGCCTCCGAGCAGGTGGGCACCTCCTGATGTTGGCGATAGGCACCAGAGAGGTGACCAAGATATAAATAATAATAATAATTAATAATTAATAAGAGGGTGGTCCGAGCTGGCAAAGCTTACCCTTGGCCGTTGAGGGCAATGAGTGGGAAGTTTCCCAGTCGTTGCTCTCAACGGCTTTTGCTGGTTAAACTCCAGCCGTTACCTCCGACGTACACTCTGAAAGCCCCGAGGCTTGGCTCTCGCCAGCCCACGCCTAAAACTGTCTGGAATCAAGTTAGTGGGATGCATCCCTCCAGGAAGAGAGAGAGAGAGCGAGAGAGCGAGAGAGAGAGAGAGAAAGAGCATGCACTCCATTCTAAACACAGGGAAATTTCCACATGCTTGGGCACATGCATGTACGTGGAACTCTCAGTCTTGGTTTGGATGCTCTTAAGCACAGTGACGGGTTTCCACGTGCGACCCACACACGGCTGATCAAATACTGAGCGGCGTTTTATAATTCTAATAATCCTGGACTTTGATGCAGCACCTCGTCACGTCGTTGGGACGTCTCAAAGCGCTTGACAGAATATATTGTAGAGTGTATTTGTGGGCGAAATTTCGCAGTCACCAAAAATAATAAATAATAATAATAATAATCCTTGCATTTGATATAGCGCTTTTCACGTCGGGAGGACGTCCCAAAGCGCTTCACAGAACACACTGTAAAGTGAATTGACTGTATTTTTGTGGGCGAACGCGGCAGCCAATTGCGCACAGCAATGTCCCACAAATAGTCGTAGATTAAAAATGACCAATTTATTATTGTTTGGGGTTTTTTTTTTGGAGGGATTATTATTAGGCTCTGTGTGGAGTAAGGAAACTTGCCCAAGGTTTCGCCCTCTGCCTGGAATTCAACTCAGGTCTCTCACTTGCAAAGCGAGTGCTTTAACCACTGAGCTACAGGACTCCACAAAGCAAGAGAGCCTGTGTGAACCGCTGTGCTGTTCCAGTTAGGGGATATTTGGTGGTCATTTTTAACCTTTGAGAGCATGTTTTGAGAGCGACGTGAAACTAGTAGTTTAGTCCAACGCTCCTGCAGCTCTTAACAAAGGCCATCGCTTTCCTGCTCTGAACTATAATTGAAAAAGACAATAAGAATGAATCAATATAATACGCAATACAAAATGTCTTGTTTTGGTTACCTGTGATGTTCATTCACTGTTTAAAAAGTCACCAGAACGAAAGCTTAATAACGAATCGAAAAGTAATACGTTCGGATCTGATACAGACCAGCTGTTGAGTTGTACAAACTCAGCTGGAATTGTATGTGAAACATTTACAGCAGATGTTTTAATACAGGTTTAGTGCTTCCACCTTCCCATCACACCCACCACCCCCAACCGGCAGAGTGAAGCGAGTGACCAGACTGATTTCAGCGTGGCTCAAATCAGAGGCTTGCAGGTAAAAGCAAAATAGTAAATAATAGTAAACTTTCCTCGTCTTTTAAGGTTGTTGGCTAAAAGTCTGCGTGTTTCTGAGGAAGGTAAAGAGACGAAGGTTGAACGAACGAGCAACCCCACTCACCGATAAATTTTGATCCCGTTCACTGTTGAATTCGGACCCTGTGCCTGTTGGCAAGGAGGCCAGACTTCTGCGTGTTCACAAAAGCAAATGGTAACGTTTCTGTCGATGAACATGCCAAGGTCTGAATACCGAGTCAATGAGTGTTCGGTAACTACACGTCACAGTAAAAAAATCCCTGTTAAGGTGCAGTGTCAAATGCGAGCATTCTGATTACTTATAGAGTTAATAACTAAACCTAATGTGTAGCCTGCAGAGCAGGACAGCACGCAGCAGATCAGATAAAGCGATCGAGCAGGATTCCTCCAGAAAGGTTGGGCAAAATAATCCTTGCGTTTGATAGAGCGTCTTACCACGTCATTCAGGCATCTCAAAGCGCTTCACAAGATATATTGTAAAGTGACTGTGTATTTTGTGGGTGAGACACGGCAGCCAGTTGGCATTAACAGTCCTGGATTGAGCGACCAAATTATTTATTATTTCTTTTTGGAGGGATTATTACCCCGCGGAACGTGATCCGTTTATTGACTAACAACCGGGTTCCTACTTACTGCTGGGTAAACAGAGGGGTGTGGAGTAAGGAAAGTTGCCCTAAAGTTTCGCCCTCCCCGGGAATCGAACCTGGGTTCGCTCACTTGCTCTAACCGATACGCTACAGGACTCCATAGCGATTGAGGCAGGGGAGTTTGGGAAGTTAGAGGCGTAGTGGCGATGGGGAGGGAGGTCTTTACTCTTATCTGGTGAAACCCAGTGGGAGCCTCTGTGAATGTGATCAACTTAGAATATATATATTTTAAGAGAATTTGAAGGCTGTATAAAACCGGGAGCCACACCTGCCACGCAGAAAAGCTGGAGAGGTTTCCTTTAAAATGAGTCCTAATTTGTTAGAATAAAGGAAAAGAGATTACTTCCAGATGCTTAAATCCGATCGGATCTTTCCGGAATTATTCCTCGTGGGTGGGGTGTTGGTGGGGGGAGGGGGGGGGGCAGGAAGGGGGAGAGTTATGAGAGTGGCGGAGGGGTGGGGGGGGGGGGGAGAGAGGGAGAGTTATAAAGAACGACAGGAAGTGTGCAGCGTAACTGAACACTTTCCATACTCTTAAGATACACTTTTTAACAAAAAAGTTTGGCGTGAAGCATTAAAGCACGAGAATATTTTCATCTGAGTTTGTAGCGAACAATGTCTTTCCCCCACAGACATTTTGGGAAAAAAAATCCTTGCATTTGATATAGTGCCTTATCACGTCGTTGAGACATCTCAAAGCCCTTCACAGGATACACTGTAAAGTGGATTGAATGTATATTTTGTGAGCGAAATGCGGCAGCCAACTGCGCACAGCAGAGTCCCACAGACAGTCGTGGATTGAGTGACCGCATTTTTTGGGAGGAGGGATTATTACCCCCTGAAAGCGATCCGCCAATCGACTAACAACCGGGTTCCAATTTACTGCTGGGTAAACAGAGGTGTGTGGAGTAAGGAAACTTGGCTAAGGTTTCGCCCTGCCCAGCTATTGGGTTTCAATGGGAGAGAGAAGAAAATATTGGCTGGTTAGCAAAATAATCTAGATTGCAAATGTTTTATGGTTGTGAAAGTTGAACCACACGAACAAAAAAAAAAAGATTAACAGTAAAAAGCTTATTTTTTTTAATCTCGTCAAATTTTAACCTGTACAAAGTTAACATTGCTTTAGTCAGAAATTATCTGCATACCTCTAACAGAATGTCCTAGTACAAACACAAAATGGTTAAGTTACAATTGATTTCTTCCTGCTCCTCTCTCTCCCGCTCTCTCCCTCTCTCTCTCTCTCTCTCTCCCTCCCCTTCCTCCCCCTCCCCCAAAAAAACTTTATACAGAAAAAAGTTTGCGAAAAAGAACATTTAAAAAAAAACGGAATTTCATCACTGAATATCCTTTGCTAACATGAATACTTTAATTTCTTTCTCCCTTCTCACCCCCCCACCCGCCCACCCACACACCCCCACCCACCCACAGAGAATTGACACTATTATTATTATCAAAGAGAAGACATCATTAGTTTTGCAAACATTTAAAAGGCACGAGTTAAAACAGAGAGAGAGAATAAAACATGATTTTATATGCTCAGCATACAATTGAAAACTGGAGGATTTAATATTTTTTTTAATCAAGCTACACTACATATCGGACGGCTTCTGTTAATATACGTGCAGTTTTGTTTTAACATTACAGGAGTATTAAAAGATTCACAGTTTATTGTCTAAAATATCTGGTCCCCCATAGCCCACAGATGACAAGAGAGAGAGAAAAATAATAATAATCCTTGCATTTGATGTAGAGCCTTATCACGTTGTTGAGACGTCTCAAAGCACTTTGCAGAATATACTGTAGAGTGGATTGACTGTGTATTTTGTGGGCGAAACGCGGCAGCCAATCGTACACAACGGTGTCCCACAAACAGCCGTGGATTGAGTGACTAAATTATTATTATCTTTCAATCGTGTTATCGTTTCCCACGCCTGATATAAAGGACTTCCAAAGCAAGGAATACTCAATAAAAAAAAGTCAAGTTGTTCGTTCTTTGATTTGGAGAATAGGTGATGACCACAAATACCAGGACTTTGTTTTACCCCTTTCTCCATGAAAACAGTAATAATCAATAGGGCCTCTTCTGATCAATACTATTAAATTCTCAAACTTCTGATAGTGTGTTTAAAAGTCCTACTTTTTTTTAGGAAGGAAGGAATCATTCCAGCAATTAACAGAAAATGGAAACAAAATATATGAGATAAATACACGTTTCGAACAACTTCCCCAAAGTTTCAGGAACAAAATGGTTTGAAAACTTTTTTTCTCTCTCTCCAACATAAAAAGCTCTCGTCTCTCTCTCTCTCTCCGCACTCGTGATATCTCTTTCGCAAACTCAGGAAAAGTTAGGTCTAAAAACTTTACAAAATAAAAAAAAGGGATGTTTTGCAGAAGAATTGAACCAAATTTCACTTGGTCCTCACGGAGGATTGTTGTTAAGGTTATTTGTTATTTTGGTCTGTAATCTGCCTGTAAATCGCTTCTCAGATCAAGTCCTGGACAGAACGTTTCGTGTTTTCTTTCGACTTTTTCTTTGAAAAGAAAGTCGGTTTGGGTCGGCCAGGAATTGGCTTCCTTTCGGAGATCAGCAGGCACTTAAAACTGGAATGAATGACACAGTGCTCCACTTTTTTTTCAGTCCTTCATTAGTGCATATTGCCATGGAAGACTGGTCAAGTCTCAAGTCCCTCTTGAGATCCAAGTTCTTGTTCTCTCCCCCACCCCCAACCCCAACGCAAGTGTGCTTTTTTTTTGTTGTCGTTTCTAATTGGCTTTGTTAATCCCCAGGCGTTTTTGTGAGGACCTTTTTAAGGCCTGGTGAGGGTTGTGTAGACTGGCTGTTCCCAATTAGTCGGGCTGTGAGACGGCGGGATGGACAGAGGATTCAGGATGGGCGAGGCATAGGAGCGCCGGGAAGGATGGAAATACGGGTACTGGTAGATACCGGAAGGGTAGCCGGGGTAAGGGTTGTAATAATTGGTGCCTTGGATGTCTGAATAGTCACACTGAGGGCCTGAGAAAACTGCGGTTGCGGAGCTGCAACTCTGGTTGCTGAAGGAACTGTAATCGGATTGGGGTCCGTGCTGCTGCTCGCTGTAGTGGCTGGGGCTCAGCTGCTCGGTTTTGATGTGCGGCCTCTGTTGACCAGGCTCGCTGGAGACCGATGAGGAGGAGGACGAGGACGAGTTGCTCTTGTGGTTCCACACCACTTGGGTTCCCGCCCCGTTGGCCGAGTAGGACACGCTGTAGGAGCCGGTGGAGTTCTGCAGGTGGCCGTGAGAGTGAGGGTGAGCGTGAGCGTGGTCGCCTGGGAGACCCCCGTGCCCGTTCAGCGGCAAGTACTGGTCGAACTCGTGCACGTCGAAGGTCTCGATGTTGCTGATGACCTCACTGCTGAGCTCGCTGATGTCCACGTTGCTGAAGTCGATGTTCTGCCGGCCGTTCTCCACCAGGGGGCGCCCCTCTCGCTTCAGCTCCTGCTTGGCCGTGTGCAGGTCTGTTTTGGGGGTGGTGGGAGGTGTCGGGGGCCCTTGGTTGTGACCTGAGGAGAAGCCAACATGAGACATTCACTCAACCTACAAGTTACTGCAGAGGAGATATTTTCGTCAAGCCTCCACTGGTGCTAACTGCTCTATCGGAGCTCCCACTGCTCCGCTCCCGACTTCCTGTGTTTGCTCTTCAGTCTGGCTCAGTCGGTAAACACTCTCGCCTCCGAGTCAGAAGGTTGTGGGTTCAATCCCCACGTCAGGCGCGGAGTCAAGGCTGCCACTCCAGCGCAGAGCCTGTTAACAGGCGGACGTTAACAATCCTGTGGCCTTATTCGAAAAGACAAGGGAGTTTCTCCCAGTGTCCTGGTTAAGAAATCCCCCCAGATCATTCACTTCACGCCTAATTGCCGTTGCCGTGTGCAAGTTGGCTGCCGCGTTTTACTCAAATCACTACACTTTACAGTGAATCCTCTGAAGCTCTTTGAGATGTCTGGATGATACATTAAGGCTCTTCATCAAATGAAAGAATTACTGAAGTTCTTTTTAATAATCCAAATATTTGAAGTGCCCCCCTGCCTTTGTGGTATTGCAATAGCCAGCAATAGATGATAATAATAATAATTAATAATAATAATAAATAATCCTTGCATTTGATATAGCGTCTTATCACATAGTTGAGATGTCTCGTCTATACATTTATAGAGTCCACCTAACCCTAAATTCCACTTGGCTTTTACGACACACTGGCCCTTTGTGCAATGAATGGGTTAATCAACATCTTACAAAGCGACAAAACCGACGGAAGTTCATGGCTTCAAAACTGGTCAAGTGGCTTTGAAACCGTGACAGGGATCCCGGCCTGAGACTCGCTTGTTATTGTGCAAAGACACAGTGCTCAGTTTCCATTAATGCTTAACGCTGCAGGGTGGGGTTCCCTCTTAATCATTAATGCCTGCTCCCTCGTTAAACATGTGGGTTTCGGGCTCGGGCTGCCTGGCTTCGGGATTATTAAAAGCCGACAAAAAAGGAAAAACTTCCGTCCTGATTACTGTGTCGAGACAGGCCAGGCATTTCAGCGTACGTTTGCAATAATTTGCATTTAAGTGTTTTTCTCCCTTTCCCAACTGTTTCCCTTTCCTCAATTCCCCCCCCCCACCATTTTTTTTCCCTCCCTTATCTCCTTTTCCCTCCCTATTTGCCACCTATTGTCCCATCCCGCCTGATTTCCCCCACCAATTCCACCCCCCCCAAAAAAAGTCAAATAAAGCTTCCCACGTGTCCTGCTCTTTGTCCTACTTGAGTCTATCGTATTTATCGTATTCCGCCTTTACCAGTGAGGGGGGGGGGTGGGGGTGTCAGTACTCTAAAGCACTCCGAGACGCCAACCCTGTGTGTTATGTAACCGCAAGTTGCGGTGGCTGTTGTGACACCTTTGGTCGCTCAACCCCCGACTGTTTGTAGCTGCCGCGTTTCGCCCATAAAACACACAGTCACTACACTCTACAGCGTATGCTGCGAAGCGCTTTGAGACGTCCCGAAGAGGTGATGGGGCGCTGGGTCAAATGCAAGGATTATTATTAATATTATTATTATTAATTTTGCGGATCACCCCCGCCACCCCCCCACCCGGAGTTTGACTTACCTGTGTGCTCGCTGGGATGGTGCCCCTCCGAGATAACTCCGGCCCCCAGGAGGTTGTCCGAGGGATGGATACTTTTAAAGAGCTGACTCCCAGACACGTGGCCCTGATCGGGGCTGGCCTCGGACTCGGCTTGTCCGTTCTTCACGCTCTTTCTCCTGCGGGGCTGGTACTTGTAATCGGGGTGATCTTTCTTGTGCTGCACTCGCAAGCGCTCGGCCTCCTCCACAAAAGGTCTCTTCTCGCTCTCGTTCAGCAAACTGCGGGCGAGATCGGTCTCTCGTTTATCGGTCGTTAATTTATTCATTCGCGATCAATAATTCACCCTGGTGGCCCGACCACCCATCCCCTCCCCTTCCCCCCACCCCCACTCCGCCCAGCATTCGCTTCAGGGCTGTTTGTGGGGACATCACTGCGCACCCGCTGGCTGCCGAGTTTGCGCCCAGCCCCACCCCGTGCAAAAAAAAACCACACACACTCGCCCCACTTTACAGTAAAATTCCCGCAAAGCGCTTTGAGACACCTCAACAACCTGATAAGGCGACATGTCAAATGCAAGGATTATTGTTGTTAGAATTAGAATTATTACAAACCAACGCAAACAGTTCGGACTCCCCCCCACCTCCTCGCCGCCCCCCCCCCCCCCCCCCCCGCCTCGCCCTGCTCGGCCACTCTCCGACCCAAGCTTTTCCTGACATCTCTAAAACCTTGTCTCTCTCTCGTTACATAAAGGGCTCCTTCGCGTTCGTCTCAGTACTAACATCTCCAGCAGTGACCGGAATGCTCTCGTGTGTGATGTTATCATTAGCTCTGCCCAGACCAGTCGGTTACAGGACACTGTACTGAATGGGACAGGGACTGCGCCGGTCCACAAGCTCAAGAGAAAAACGATCCCGCTTCACGTTTCACCCCCCACCCCCAACCCCACATAATCCGATCCCGGACAGTCAGACGATCGAGCGAATGTTCAGCCCTCTCTGCCCTCCGATCTCTGGAACGCCGTCCCAGAGACCCTTCACCTCACCCTGCCTTCGTAGTCTGCCTTAAAACCTCACGTCTCAACTGTGCTTGTGGGACGCTACTGGGCTCAAACACCCACAAAATACCCAGTCAATTCACTTTACAGTCTATCCTGCGAAGCGCTTTGAGACGTCTCGAGCGACATGATAAGGCACTGTATCAAACGCAAGGATTATTATCATTAATATTATTATTATTCTCCTGGCCTGAAAGGTGGTGTTTAAACGTAACTTGTCGCTGAAACTCTCGCTTGCGGGTTAGGACTGAGCGTGATGGTCAATGAGTTAAGTTAGTTGGTGGCGAATTTGCCCTGGAAACAATTGACCTGTGTGGTCTTGCACACTTCCCTGTACCTTTCAACATCTAACTAAACTGGTTTTATTAGAGGCATCAAGTAACTGCCAGTCAAGTCTTCCTAGTGGATTAAGGGAATTGCAATTTATACAGTGATTACAGATCGGAGCAATATATTTATTCACATGTGAGAACCCCAGTTGCCTTTTTTTTTTGTTTTGCTTGACGTAAATTGCTGGCTGTAATAAATAGCCTCCTATTACTTAATCAGCTAAAACATTAACATGTGCGCTTTTCAAAGCTATAATCATGGAGCTCTGGCATATTTAGAAGGGTGCGGAGGCGGGGAGGGAGGGAAGGGTAGAGAGAAAGAGAAATAATAATAATAATAATAATAATCCTTGCATTTGATATAGCGCTTTTCACGTCGGGAGGATGTTGCAAAGCGCTTCACAGAACACACTGTAAAGTGAATTGACTGTATATTTGTGGGCGAACGCGGCAGCCAATTGCGCACAGCAATGTCCCACAAACAGTCGTAGATTGAAAATGACCAATTTTATTATTGTTTTTGGTTTTGGAGGGATTATTATTATTATTAGAGAAAGAGAGAGGGGGGGGTGGAGGGGGAGAGAAAGAAAAGGAAGAGGGGCATAGCCTCCTACCCTAACTTCCAGCCAAATTCCCCCCAAGAGCCGGGTAAACCAATGTCTGAAAGTATCATTAATGATACTTAGTGCATTGCAAATCCATGTAGACAAGTGCCTGATTGTGCCATATATTTAGTAGTTTGAGAAAACACAACTAAACCCCTGAAGAAAAAAGGAAGAATTCTTGCACAGAAAAATATTTAGCACAAGTCGAATTCCAACCGTCCTTTCCCCCCCACCCCCCAAATAAACCGACGCGTCTCAGCTTTAGTCAAGAATCTCTGGCGATTGATACAGATTCAGCGCAGGTATTATTCTTAATTAATTCATTAAATGCAACAGATTTTATTGGGGGAAGTGGAGAGAATTTCTCCCCACACCCCACACGCCCCCCCCCCCCCCACCAAAAAAAGTCTCAAACAAGTCAAACTCTCAAACCAAGAGGTATTGGAGAGAAAACTTTGGAACTATATAAAACTTTGGAACTATATAAAACTGTGGAACTATATAAAACTGTGGAACTATATAAAACTTTGGAACTATATAAAACTTTGGTACAAACTTTTTTTTTTGGGGGGGGTGTGTTTGCTGTTTAGGTTTTTTTCTCTCTCTCCCCCCCCCTCCCTCCCTCCCTCTCTTTTTAAACCAAAACAAATACTTCTAATATAATCCAAACTAAATTTAGAGTTGACATCGATTTGTTTTTTTCTGTGACAACATCCCCCCAACACCCCCATCCTCCTCCTCCCCCCCCACCCTCCACACCCCCCCCCCCAAAAAAAACACACACACACACAACAAACAACAACAAATTGAAGCAAAAGAAAACCCTGAAATGCATCGATTTCACTTAAAATAATGAGTTTGCAATTGGGGGGGAGAGGAGGAGGGGGAGAAGGGGGGAGAGGGGGAATCCATAAGGATTAGGAAAGTGCTGGTGGTTGGGGGGGGTGAGAGAGGGAGGGAGAGGGGGAGAGTGAGGGGGAGGGAGAGAGAGTGGGGGAGAGAGAGTGGGGGGGGGGAGAGTGGGGGAGAGTGAGGGGGAGTGTGTGAGGGAGTGTGAGGGGGAGTGTGTGAGGGAGTGTGTGAGGGAGTGTGTGAGGGAGAGTGAGGGGGAGTGTGTGAGGGGGAGTGTGTGAGGGAGAGTGAGTGGGAGAGAGTGAGGGGGAGTGAGTGAGTGAGGGAGAGTGTGTGAGGGGGAGTGTGTGAGGGAGAGTGAGTGGGAGAGAGTGAGGGGGAGTGAGTGAGTGAGGGAGAGTGTGTGAGGGGGAGTGTGTGAGGGAGAGTGAGTGGGAGAGAGTGAGGGGGAGTGAGTGAGTGAGGGGGAGTGTGTGTGAGGGGGAGTGTGTGTGAGGGGGAGTGTGTGTGAGGGGGAGTGTGTGTGGGGGGGAGTGTGTGAGGGGGAGTGTGTGTGGGGGGGAGTGTGTGAGGGGGGAGTGTGTGTGAGGGGGAGAGAGTGAGTGGGAGTGTGTGTGAGGGAGTGTGTGTGTGAGGGAGTGTGTGTGTGGGGGGAGTGTGTGTGTGGGGGGAGAGTGAGTGGGAGTGTGTGTGGGGGGAGTGTGTGTGTGTGTGGGGAGTGTGTGTGTGTGTGAGGGAGTGTGTGTGAGGGGGAGTGTGTGTGTGTGGGGGGTAGTGTGTGTGAGGGGTAGTGTGTGTGTGTGTGTGTGTGTGTGTGTGGTGGGGGGGGGCATGTGTGTGTGTGTGGGGGGGGAGGGCTGTGTGTGTGTGTGGGGTGTGTGTGTGTGTGTGGGGGGGTGTGTGGGGTGTGTGTGGGGGTGTGTGTGTGTGTGTGGGAGTGTGTGTGTGGGGGAGTGTGTGTGTGTGGGGGGGTAGTGTGTGTGTGGGAGTGTGTGTGTGTGTGGGGGAGTGTGTGAGGAGGAGTGGGGGAGTGTGTGAGGGAGAGTGAGGGAGAGTGAGTGGGAGAGAGTGAGGGGGAGTGTGCGTGTGTGGGGGGGGGTCGCCTTACCGCCACAGTTTTCCGAGGGTTTTGCTGAGCTCCGCGTTGTGGAGGTGCGGGTACTGATCCGCCAGTTTGCGGCGCGCGGCCTGAGCCCACACCATGAAGGCGTTCATGGGCCGCTTGACGTGGGGTTTGTTTTTGGAGGAGCCGTTGATCCTCACGGGCATTGGGACCAGAGTCCAGTCATAGCCCTTCAGCACCTGACTGACCGCCTCTCGGATACAGGCGGGGAAGCGCTCGTCCTCCTCCTCCTCCTCCTCCTCCTCTTCCCCTCCCTCTTCCTCTTCTTCGTCCTCGTCCCCCGGCGGCAGCTGCTTGCGGTCGGGGAAGGAGCCCGAGCCCCTCCCGGTGCCGTCCTCGGACTCGGTGTGCGGGGCCTCGCTGTCCGACATGGAGCCCGGAGAGCCCACCGACTCGCTCTCAGACCCGCTGCAGCCCGGACTGCCGCACACCACCAGACCCCCCCCCACCACCACCCCCCCACCCCGCCCCGGCGCCACCTTCTCCTGCTCCTCGGTCATGGTCAGCATCCACTTGAGCCCCCACCCCCCAACCACTCCACCCCCACCACCCACCACCACCACCCACCCAACACCACCCCCAACCCCCCAAAAAAATCCTTCTCTTAATTGCACACCAACACTCTTCTTCTCCCCTCTCCCCCTTCTTCTTCTCCCCTCTCCCCCCTCTTCTTCTCCCCTCTTCTTCTCCCCTCTCCCCCTCTTCTCCCCTCTCCCCCCTCTTCTTCTCCCCTCTCCCCCCTCTTCTCCCCTCTCCCCCCTCTTCTTCTCTCCTCTCCCCCCTCTTCTCCCCTCCTCTCCCCCCCCCCAAAAAAAAATAATCTTATTTGCAAACAAAATCCAACTCAACCCCAACCCCTCAAAAAACCTCCTAATTTGCAAAACACCCCACTCTCTCTCTCTCTCTCTCTCTTCCCCTCTCCCCCCCAAAATAATAATAATAATAATAATAAACCAGAACAACTCACACCTCTGCACACAGAAAGATACAGATCTTTTCCTTCTCCTCCCACCCAGCTCCACTCCCCAATTTTTTTTGGGGTGGGGGGATTATTAAAAAAAAGGTATATAAAACAAACTCTCCACCACTCCACTCCACTCCAACCCTCCCCCCCAAAAAAAAAGTTTAAAAACTTATCCTTTAACACCACCAACTTGTCATTTAACAGCCCCCCCCCACCTCCTCTCTCTCCTAAAAAAAATCACCAATTGCCCCCCAAAAAATCACCCCTTTTGTTTCAGTCACATCACATAACGACCACCACCAAAGCAAATAAAAAAGCTAATTAATTACCAAAATAAAAAAGAATTGGTCTGGAACAAAAATTGAGGCAGACACCCCCCCCCACCACCCAAAAAAAAAAATAGAAAAATTCCTACTGTGGCACTGCAATTGGGCTCTCAACGAGGAGGAGGAAGAAAAAAAAAGAAAACGATTCCTGTTGTTCTCCTTGTTCTTGTGTTTCGTTGAAGATGAGAGTCCAGGGATCAGAGGAGTGAGTGTGAGGATGAGTGTGAGGATGAGTGTGAGAGTCGCTCTGGTGCCTTGAGAGTGAGACACACACCACAGACACACACACACACACAGAGACACGGCTCTCTCCCCCTGTGTGCGGGTGTGTGGGTGTGGAGCCGCCTGGTTGACCCCCGGACCAAGTGTGATACCAGGAGGAAAGTTGGGAAGAAGTTTGTCAGGACTTTGTTTTGGCCGCAGTATTTCAGTCCCTCCTGCGCCTCTGTGGTTGGTCCTCACCCCAATCCCTCTGATTTGCCCACCGACCTAAAGTAGGCGGTAGGTTTAATCTTAAAGGAGAAATCCATCTCATAACCCCCCCCCCCCCCCCCACACACCCCCACACCCCCCCTTTAAAACTGTTTCAATGTCGTGAGGATTCTGAACCAAACCAAACCCCAGTCCTGTTATTTTTGGAGCCCAATACATTTCGGTCCACGGACCGTAATCATTTTTTGCACCGTTATCGTCATTGCGGGGGCTGGTGGGGGGGTGGTGGGGGGTGGGCAGGGAGGGCTTTTGGTGGGGGGGGGTTGTTTTGTTTTGACGTTTTCTTAAAAGAGTTAGAAAACGTCCAAAGGGTTCCGGGGTGGAGAAGACCTTCCAATGGCTCTTGTTGTTGGGGTCGCGTTGTGATTAGACTTTCTTTAACGCGAAGTGGGGTTGCAATATACATTTCACACACTATGCGGCTCTCTCTGTTTTCCCTCTCTCCTCCTATTCAGACACTTGTCTGTGTGGTATTAATTTTCCAAACCAGTACACTGTAAATCCAACCTATCGTGTCTCCCTGTAAAGCGGACCGATCGCGATTTAACGACTGGACCTGGATTTAAACCCACTCTCACTTAAACTGCTCCCCCCACCCCCCAATATAGACCCCTCCGCTGTCATCTACAAAAAATGTGAATTATATTTTTTTGAAATAATCTAAGATTTCAAGGATAACTAACTTCCCGTTGAACGGAGTCGTCTTTTTTTTATTTAACCTGTTGTAACATTATATATATGTGTATATATATATATATGTGTGTATGGGGTAAGTATTTCAAAGGCATCAGAGAATTATATGTTATTGTGTTTCTCTTCTCTGCAAAGCGGTAGTTTGCATCTGATCGACTTTAGTATCTTAGATATTAAATATAGATTTTTATTAAAAAGTTAGCTTCGTAACTCAGTGCCGAATTATGTTATCTAAGTGCCTTCTCGCCTCTGTGGGTACAATACGAGTCGCTGTGTATTCTGTATAATATATCTGTGTCCTTGATCCACAAAATACATTTTTAAGCGATTTTTACAATCTGTCTCAAAACTGTATTGACTTGTGTGTGTGTCTCTCTGTCTCTCTCTCTCGGTATCGTAAATGGCAATCGATTCCAGCCCTGAATAATAAATAAAAAGTTCTTCCCTGATTCAAATTCAACGTAAACTTATTCTTTTATATGAAAAAAATACATATATGCTGTGCCCCCAAAACGATACTAGAATCGCCTCCTGCAAAAACAACAAAAAAAGCGTGCATTGTACTGCGGAAAAGAGTTATGTTCTGTCCAGTAACTATTTGATGGTGTTAATATCCCCTCCGCTGCTATTTCGAATTTATTTCACATATTCGATTTAAAAAAACTGCTTTTATTGACACACACACACGTATATATACATTAAAAATACAATATATATGTATATATATATATGGTGTTGCAGTATGACCATGCTGACAGGTAGAGCTTTGCAAAATAGCAGTAAATTAAATTTAAAAAAAAAAAAAAATACAAGGAGCAAATATGCCAAAAATAAGACGTTGCATTAAAAATAAAACACGATTGCAATCGTGCGTGCCTCACTTTTATGGCAGTTTCTCGGGGTTTCAACAGAGGACTAAAAAGATGCTTTAAATTTTTCCGATAGATGGGTTTTTCGAAAGTCTGTAGAGTGTCTGAATTTCTGTAACCATTGCGGTTAATGACACCTGTCGAAAGGGGGTAGAGAGGGGAAAAAAACACACAGCGCTGACTATTCGGGTGGGGGTGGCTGAGTTCTGGGTGACTTCTTTACCTGTGTGTTGCTATTTCATCGCATTTTGCAGAGGGAAAGTGGATCGTTTAGAAAAGCTTTTCTCTCTCACCCCCCCCCCCCCCCCCCCCCCCCCACACCCCCACAACCCATTTAAAAGTTACAGCATGTTTTCCCTGCACCGTAAACCATAACATAAAGCAAAGCATTGATTGATAATTGACAGACCAATGTGATACTCCAAAGCACCCAACTGTTAGTGCAACTATTTTGATGCTAATAGTGTGTCAGTCAAAGTTGGGTCAGGTTTCGCCCACAAAATATACAGTCACTCCACTTGACAGTATATTCTGCGAAGCGCTTTGAGACGTCTCAACGGCGTGATGAGGCGCTATATCGAACACAAGGATTATTATTTGTATGTGTACCGGTAGCACTTTGATGCTTTTTTTTAAAAAAAATAGGAATCTTTTTGATGTGTGTGAATGAAATTGATTAACAAGAAAGTCCAAAATGTTATTATCACTATTTTCATTCTGTTTCAGCTCTGCCGGAGAAATGTGTGTCTGAATTTTCTAAACGCTGGAGTTACACAAACACGAATCTGTATATGTACATACACGTAATATCCTTTTTTTATATTAAAACAGAATTTGTTTGTGCTCAGTTCAGCTATTTTCGAGGGAGTTTTTTTTAACAAAAAAACATTGAAAACCTCGATCACTGTTCAAAACAAATACTAGAATTTCAGACAGTCCAACACGGGAATAAATGGGACACAGACAAAGAACATTTTAATCCTATTGCCTCCTGATTATTTGATGCTTAAAAGGGGTTCCTGATGATGTGTCTTGATCTTGGATCAAATGAGAATTAGTTACGCTTACAAAATCCCACAGGACAGGATTTTGTAAATAAAAAACGAGTTTTAAGAGATGCTGTGATTTTGTTATACCCAAACTGTTGTTTACCTGAATTGGAGTAAAAAGGCTGTTCCAGAAGCGTTTAAAGGCTCTGTTTGGGATGTGTTTGGGTTATGATGAAATGAAGCTGGTGTGAGATTGGTGCGAGTACTGTACCCCTGGTTTAGTGGTTGACCTGTGTTTATAATGCGAGATGACATCTACTTTTGAATGACAAATTGAGAGATTTACAGAGATTATGGTCCTCTCAACCTCGCTGTTTAAAAGTAGTAATCCTTTTCAAAGCAGGAGAATCCGCATCATTTGCACAGTTCAAACCCTTTACCAACTAGAGGTGTGTATGCGTGGGGATGGGGAGCAAGGTGGTGGTGGTGGTGGGGGGGGGGGTGTTGGGGGGGGGGGGGGGGGGGGGAGAGAAACCCATTCATCAAATGCCCGCAAAACACACATTGTATGGGAATTAACAGGGAAATTGGCCAAACCAAGGAGTCAGTGACACGCATGAGAATAACGTGCCACTGCGTTTCCTTGGCTTAAAAGTGACCCATTTCTAACTGCGAAAACCAGAGTGTTCAGACCCCCCCCCCCCCACCCCACCACCCCCCACCACACACACACACTCCCACCCCTGAAACAAGGCATTTTATTTTATTGATTTTTTTCTTGTGTGTGTGTTTTTGGTGGGAGAAATGAGACGAGTTCTATTAAAACCGATTTAGCATCTTTGATGCATAAAGTACATTTCGCCCAAACAAAATACAGTCAATTCACGTTACACTATATCCTGTGAAGCGCTTGGAGACGTCTCGACGACGTGATAAGGCGCTGCATCAAATGCGAGGATTGTTTTTATTTAGAGATCCAGCAAATAAGAAAACGGGTGAATTCTTTTTGCAAAAAGAAAATGAAAAGAGAGAAGGATATGGGTTAAAAGGGAATCGAGTGTTATGCAGTACTTCCTCTGAACATTGCAGATCCTATTTCTGTGATTTTGCAAGCGTTTTGCTGCCTTGAAAGTGTGCAGTTTTTTTTTATTTACATGGAAATCATGTTTGTGGTGAAACGACTGGAAGCAAAGC